AGGTTCTTCATCATATCCGGGTTGATTGTTACTAACAATCTGAAATGATTCATCATAACAATGCCAACAACGATCAACTAAGTGCCCAAATTTACCACAAAGTTGACACTGAATACGAGGCCTACCTCATCCTCGACCTGGTCGACCACCTGACCTACCACCTGACCAAGCAATAGTCATATGATCTCTATCATAGCTTGAATAAGACCGTTTAGAGTAATCACCTAAACCAACCCCACGAGCAATATGAGGCGCAACCATCACCGTTTCTTCTTGAGCTGCAAAACCAGCGATCTGCATCTCTGCATCTATCATCATGGTACAAACCTTATCTAAGGGAAACATGTCACCACTCGACGTAATAACAGCCATAAACGGATGATATTCACATGATAGGCCTTTCAAAATGTTGGCATATGTCCTACAAGAGGAATCAGGCTTCCACATGAAGCCAAAGCATCAAAAATTTCTTTGACTTTAGTAATGTAAACTCGCATATTTTCTTCTCCTTTATTGAGAGACTGAAGTTTACAATGTAAACTCATCACTGAGGTTGAAAACCTAGTTGCAAAGTATTGCAACACAGTAGCCCATATCGATGCAACTGTCTCAGCTCCCACAAACTGAGATAGAAGATGTGGATTGATGGTAGACAGTAACCATGATGCTAACGCACTGTATTGGGCTACAAAATCATCATAAGCTTCATTGGGAACCAAGCGGCCATCTTCATAAACAACCATCTCTGGTGGAGATTACATAACACCGGTGAGAAGTCACTCAAGTCTATGACTAGGAACAGTAAGAAAAACTTCTTGTTTCCACCATTACTAAGAAAACCCCTTTCATGACACGCATTGCACATCATCTATGGGTACAGATGACACACAAATGTGCGTCATTGAAGCCACCGTCATAAATCTCAGATGACACACAATTGTGTGTCATAAATCTATGACGCGCATTGCGCGTCATTGAAGCCCCCATCATAAATGAAGATGAGACACATTTGTGTGTCATAAATTTATGACACGCATTTTTTACTTACATTGTGTGTCATTGAAGCACACATCATTAAAAAAGATAACACATTCATGTGTCGTGATTGTATGTCGTAAATTTTATATATATATATATATATATATATATTGTAAATTGACAAATAATCAAACTAAATCACATTTAATGCCTCATAATACTAAATATATATATCAAATTATATATAAGCAATCCTTTTGCATACAATATATTAACATTAAGTTATCAAAAATATTGTAATCATATGTCGATACAAAATATCTCGCCATGATAAAGTTTGCCACATAAGATACCCATTCTTTGCGAATATCATCAATGTCATCATCCGTGTATTCTTCCTTCCTATTGCCAACCTAAGTAAAAAAATATGAAATAAGTAGATAATTTATACTTATTTAAAGTGAAGTATATAACTATAAAAGAGTACTAAAATGACCAATTTTACATATGCATTCTTTGAAGCATATGTAAAAATAAATTGTACACATTTAATTAGTAAAACTTCCCATATAAATTATATACATTATCACGGAACTAATTCACAGTTTTCAGTCTTGCTAACAAGTAGTTGCATTAATTTGTTTAGAATAGCATCCTACTTCAAGGCCATATGATAGTTGTATGACTAATGTGTATGTATGATATGACAAATGTGTATCAGAAAAGTTTGCTTACATTCTTATTGACCATTACTTCAAGTCCGTTCTCGACTATCTATTTCATGAACTTACAAATATAATATCCACACTCGGTACCTCCCGACTGACGGGGACACTACAAACAGTTTACAATAAACGATTAGTCAAAATGAAAGCTGCAATTTAAATAAGGAATGATCGAAGTCCTCACCAAAACATTGATCCAATTGAGGCTAACCCTTTTGTTAGATCCACTTTGAGTAGTGTACAATATCATTTCCCTATAAAAATTGATGAAATATATCAAAGAATTTACTATAATGTTTCGATAATTTATGTTACTTACGCATCAATAATCTGCTTCAATTGTTGATGGACATTGTTGGGCCCCAAGGAATCAATATAATAACAACTTGTTGCTTTCATATCTATCACCGCCAACACCCAATGTCTTCTATAAAAACCAAAAACCAAATTAAGTTACTAAAATATATTGATAATCAAATGAAAAAATAAACCCGGGATTATATGGCACTAGGTCGGTTTTTGGTTTGCTTAGTTTCTTTGCTCGCCCCTACTAAAAACCAACAAACCTAATAATAAGTGCCAACGCCCGTTCCTCAAATAACAAGACCAAGGCATATCAGTGGTACATGAAAAATATAACCATAATGGCTATAGTATAAAAGCATAGAGAAGTTGGTAGAGTAAAAAACAACACCACTTTTGTTTACACAACCAATTGAGAAATTTTCAACTTTGAATTGCATGAAAACAAGATTGAATTGACAATTAGTAAAATTGAAATCATCCAAATATTCTGTCAAAGTTGGATCATAATTTCACTTTCCTCGTTCTATTTCTTACACTCTTTTTCACAGAGAGGAGACGAGGAATAGTAAGCTCGTTAGGACTTAGAAATAGAGAGGCACACGGATCAATACAAGTGAAAGGGAAAACTAACCAAATTGATCAATGGTGAAAAATTCATTTTCAGTTCCATCACCCCAACTTAGAAGTGCCAAGTAATTCATCATTGCCTGAGGCAGATACCCCATATCTCTGAACTGGAACAACATAATTGTTAAACGTGGAAACTTTTAATCCTCAATTGAAAAAGATATTGTAGACCCTATGGAAACCAAGGAGATGATACAATTATTTTACAACATTTTCCATGAAACAAATTAGAATGAATATAACTACTTGACCAACTGAAGTTGCACCATGACGTTTTGACAATTTGCTCCTATCAGGTGCAAGAATCAAAGAAACATGGGCAAAGGAAGGCATGGGGAATCCCAGAGCCTGTAGTAATTTTTTTTCCAGATTAAAGATTAGCTTCCTTAAATTGGTGAAATGAAACCAAAAACTCCGAAAGCCACTAAATATTAACAAAAATAAATAAATAAATGAAGCCCTTTAACATTACCTTGTATATTAAGGATTGTCTTAGAGTCTTAGGTAAATGCTCTTCTACTCTGAAATGCTAGTATAGAGAGTGTTAGAATAAAGGACTAAAAATGTTCTAACAGAACATATATTAGATGTAGCAAAAAGATAATCAATTATTCTCTCAATTACCATTTAACATATGAAATAAACATGGTAGCATCATCAACAGTAACACAAAAGTTGTAAACAAGTTGACCATTGCTCCTCATTATAACAAAATCCCCAAGTGTGTCCAATTTCCAGCTAACCTTCATAATACTATCAAACAAATTAGTGCCTGTAAAAGTAAATTACGGATATATCTACATTCTGTTGTTGATGGACCACTGAAACTTATAGATAATGATGCTTAAAGCCAAAATTCCTCAAATCAAGAGACAAAAAATCTTATTAGTCAAATGTTAAAATTTGAGCATGCTTCGAAACACATAATCATAGTTCATTTGAATTAAAGGTTATGTTATGTGAGACACAAAATTCAAACTTTTGTCTCCAAAGGAATAGTGTTATTCTAATTCCTAGAGGCATTCCGATGAAATGAAGGACAAAAATTGTAATTCAAGGTACAAATATCCCACATTTGCAATGTCTTAAAATCAATTACCTCATTGGAACAAAAGCAACGATAAACCTGAGCAGATTCTAAGAGCTTCTCAGCATATTGTTTATACATAGAATTTCTTTCAGATTTTCGATAAGGACCATAATCCCCACCAATGCCAGGGCCTACATGGAAAGTGATAGAATCAATATAAACTTAATGCTAAAAGTGACAAACACAATCGAACCATACATGTAAAATTGAAGATTTGAAGCAATAAATTTCAAACCAATTTAATTAAAGCGGAAAGACAATGGAAACAACATATAAATAGTACTTTCATCCTAGTCAAGTCCAAGCCAAGCTAAATCTCGAAGAACAGCCTCCTCCGATTCTCACGACGACCTCTCCAAATCAGTATCCTCGATTCTCAGCATAAATTTTCCTCCCTTAGATCTTAAGAGAAAAAAATAAAGAACAGAAAAGAGAAAATCATCAAAATTCTACGAAGTTAGAAACAAAATAACAACGCACAAGATGTAAAAAAAAGAGAGGAAAAAAACCTAGCGAATAAGTAGTTGAAGAGAGCAGTTCGAGCACCGCCGACGTGGATATTGTCGGTCGGAGAAGGAGCAAACTGGACTCCCGGTGTATTGCTATTAACTAAAGCGCGAACGGAGAAATTTCTACGAAAATGGCGTTAAAAAATAAGCGGATGAGCGAATTCAGGGATTACTCTGATTCTCATCCATGGCGTCCCTGCAACGAGTGCCACCATTTTTGAAACGAAAAAATGGAGTTGAAGATACTGAGATAGGAGAGGATAGTTAGTAAGATACTGGGATAGGAGAGGATAGTGAATAAGATAATGGGACATGGGAGAACGAAGTTGTTTTCCATTTTGTCCCAATATCCCTGAATGAAAATTTTCTTTTTGAAACGACAAAATGGACTAGAACCGGGAAAGCATGCGTACGTGATGAAAATTATGGGGGGGAATTAAAAGACAACTTTTAGAGATGACACACAATGAAAAGTGTACTCCGTGTGTTTGCTAAAATTTTTGGATTATGACTATTAAATATGACACACATTATTGTAAGTCATAAATCGTTCAGATTTTAAGAAACATGACATTTTTTTATGACACACATTTTTTGCAAGTCATAAATCAGCGTGTGTCATCGTTCGTGTGTCATTAAAGGTATATTTTCTTGTAGTGCACAACAAGAAATTTATTTCATTTAATAACACATTGATTTTCTTGTTAGTGAACATCGAATCACAACATTCAGTAGAAAAAGAAGCAAGAAACACATAGAGATCCGTTAATCAACCAAGAACACCATACCTAACTTATTGAACAACCACCTTCCACGCTTAACAAGAACGCTCTGAGTTACGCAGCAAGAAACACGAGGCTCCAGGAACTTATGGCAATTGATACCATGTGAGGAAGTAACTACAACATCAAAGTGTAAAAACAGAATACATATTGTTTATTGAACTATAACACTACTTATATACAAGTGTTTACAGGCAGCCCTTATATCACTACTAGAAAAAACCCCTATGGGTGCAGATAACACAAATACGCGTCGTTGAAGCCACTGACATAAATATCAGATGACACGCAATTGTGTGTCATAAATCTATGGCGCACATTGCGCGTCATTAAAGCGCCCGTCATAAATGAAGACGACAAACATTTGTGTATCATAAATTTATGACACGCATTTATGACTTACATTGCGTGTCATTGAAGCACACGTCAATAAATATATATATATATATATATATATATATATTGTAGATTGACAAATAATCAAACTAAATCACATTTAATGCCTCATAATACTAAATATATATATCATATTATATATAAGCAATCCATTTGCATATAATATATTAACATTAAGTTATCAAAAATATTGTAATCATATATCGAGACAAAATATCACGGCATATAAAGTTTTCCACATAAGATACCCATTCTTTGCAAATATCATCAATGTCACCATCCGTGTATTCTTCTTTCCCATCGCCAACCTAAGTAAAAAATATGAAATAAGAATATAATTTATACTTATTTAAAGTGAAGTATATTTCAAGTACAAATAGTTTATTAGTACAAATTTGCATGTTATTGGCTATTAGCATAATAATAGTAGAAGATTGTAACCAATCTGCTGCAAATTTCTTTACATAAAAGAGGTAAAAGTTTCAATACATAGCAAATGTACCTTGGGACTAAGATCGGCTGAAGTCACCTTAAATCGTCCTCGCTGAACAACTGCTCCTTCTGAAGCATCCTCTGATATGCAAGAAGCAAAGATAACAAAACAGAGTTCATTTGCGTACAAATAAGTAGCATCCCTTCTAAGCAGAAATGAAAGGTAATAAAACCAGGCTATACCAGATGTGTTATTTGCTTCTCTCCTCTGGTGGTACAATGGACCACTGTAGTTGCATTCAGATGGAAATTTAGGCTGTGGGAAGTCCCTGCAAAACAAAGTTGATAAAATTGAATATAAATTGGCATACAAACCTTTTCCATTAAAATTAGTGGTAATGGTGGGAGACAATTGTTCCTTTTAACTACAAAATATAGGAACAATAACCAAGTAGAAAAGTCCCAGCGTACCACATTATACATCTAGGATTCCTCTAGACTTGCAATCCACATAATCCAGAAACTCATCATATCTAGAGCATGATAATGGGGAAAGAACATCCTATATTTCATAAAAAGTTATTTTAAGCAATGTATGTTTGGTGATAATAGTTTAGGGTTTAGGGTAACTTCACTTAGAAGAAAGCTTACATGTCCCCATCTCCAGTAACCTTGTTAGTAGAAAAGGCACTATCAGGTATTAGTGTACTGCTCAAGTACCTTTTAAGCTCTAGAATAATCTGACATGTGAAAGAGCCACTTTGCCCAAAATTCTCACCTTCATGTCTTCCAGTATCTTGGTACATGGGTCTTGATGACTTTGTATTACTTTCCAATGGCATAACACCTTTCCAATTTGGACCATTGGCGCCCTCACCTTCACCAATGTCAAAAGAGCCTCTGCACCAATTAAAAAGTTGCAAAAAAAGAAACTAATTACCCAAAAACAATTACACTGACAACCTTCCCTTTTTCAGAAAAAAATAGTTTTTTGTCTAATAGATAACACATATGTTCTTAAACTATATGAGAAGGATATGGCAAAAAGCATATAATTTTAAAATTAAATGACACTTGTGACAAGAAACTGCTTTCTATTGGAGATAATTACGACTTGGAGGTCCTTTGAATGAGACAAATGCTAATAAAAATGTCATCTTAATTATGTTATAATAGTGAATTGTTTAAATAGTAAGATCATGCAAGCATAAAAAAGCCATACTTGACTGCCTGAAGTGGCTTAATAGGAAATGAAGCAAGTGAACTATCCAAATCATGAAGATCATTAACCCCATCCTGAAACAAGTAAAAGGGGATGCAAATCTGAAGTACAAGCTTAACCAAAGCATCAAGTAACAATGGAAAGGCTGACAACTTAATTATACAGAAAGCATTTTAGGGCTATAACTGGTACCTCCTGGCTGCTTGCAGCATTGGAATTAGTAGTTTCAGAAGACATCTTCTCACCTGAAAAGTTATTTTTACATCTTTTCTTATCTAGATGAAAAATGATAGAACAGTATAAGAAAACCCAATTTTTTCATCCAGTAAAAAATGGAAACTGAAAAATTAAATAATAATCCTTTCTACCTACAGGTTTCTTTGATTTGGATCCAATAAATCTGTTATTTGCTCATTGTATATCTGCAAAAGAAAATTGAAAATGAAGTGATAAGGAACAAGAATAGTACAACGCTAAGCAGTCCAATTATGTCAAAAATAAGAATCAAAATAATTCAATTAACTCTACCTCAAGAAAAGAACATCGGATTTGATACTTGAGATGTTTATCAGCCACAGTTCAAAAAGAGGGTAAACAAGAATAATTTCAGTTTGCACAATGACTGTGGTTATACGTAATTACGTATGTAATTATATTAGAGAAACAACAACATTTGGATTAGAGTGAGAATACACGAAAGATATAATCCATTCATACATTTATATGGTTGCAGACTCAACATAGCAATAAAATCACTACAAACAAAGATGATAGGCAGACGTGTTATACCTCTATCTTGGTAGCCTTGAAATCCTCTTGAAGAACAGATTGCAGAGCCGAAATAGCAGTCTGTACAATAGTAGGAAAATAAAACATTAGACAAATGCGACAGTGTTAGCAAATGTTAAACTTGTGACATTTAATAACTTCCTTTAACATACATAAAGGATATATATATATATATATATATATATATATATATATATATATACCTGCATTGTTTCCTCATAAGTAAAAGCAGAGTCATTCTTCATATTCTTTACCAATAAATTAATTGCCTCTTGTTCTTTCGATCCATCACTGGTTGCCTGCAGAACATCAGTCCAAAATTCAATCTAGATGCATAATGCAAACCCTAAACCAACTAAAATTTAACCAAATTATTGTGGTCGCATCTTGTACTACACTCTCAACAAAAACAAAACTTCCATATAGAATATAGTCAAAGAGACCTAGTTGAGAGAAACAGTTATGAATCATAACTATAGTAATAATATATGGCTTCTGGAACCAGGCATTTAGAACTAAAATCAAGAATCCAAACATAATGAGCGATAAAATCAACTTTCAAACTACCTCGTGACTATAAAAAATGGCCTGTTGGATTACACTTGTAGAGTTGGGGTCCCTTTTCTTCGTCAATACCCAAAACCATGGCAACTTCACATAAAAGGAAACAGAAAATAGCAGAGTAAGTTATCTAGAATACACAATTACACATAAGCATATATCTGCTTACATGTGTATTAACAACTCAAAAGTTGCAAATCTCCCATGGAAAAAATAAAGATAGAAAAACTTTTAAAACAAAATTGTAGGATGTTGAAGAAATCATAGGTTTACCAACTCCAAGAGGCCTCATATAAACATGTTGAGTATAAACCTATGATTTGTCTGCAATCATATACCAATAAAGCATGAGAGGCTAAATTAAATGTATGAACATCAAAATGGACGAGAACCATAAACATCAAAGATAGATCAATTTTCAATAAGGAATTCAAAATAACATTTAAAATGTGGTTGGTCGTGCGTATTAATTTTGGAACCAAGACTATACCCATGAACTAGTAAATAAGGATGATAAAGCTGCTTCAACTTTCATGTTAAAACGATCAAGATCTTAATATTTTTCAAATATCTACTAACAGAAGTAAAAGCGCATAAATTTATATCCAGTGTGTATCCAAATGATTGATCTCTTCAAGTCATTAAGCTTGATCAAACATTATCCATATGAGATATACAGAAAATACAAAATCCAAATTTTCCAAAATAACTAAATATTGTCAAGTTCAAGAGAATATAATACAAGTAACTATACCATTTGGACAATACATCCACAGGCATCTCATATCCATATCTAAACTGAAACTCAGCTGCTTCATTCCTTGCTTGTTGGACCAAGGTCCTTGCATCAGCTGAAGAGTGGAAATACCAATTATCATCAGTGTGAAAAGAGATATAACATTATAGCCCAGAATCCCTTACATTCCCAAAACCCTGATTCACTAGTCAACAAAAACAAAGATCTTGGCAATTCGAACAAATAATATCTAAGAAAAATATTTACCAAAATAAAAAAATGGTATTTAGCAAAAAAAAATAAACCTGTCATGCCAGTAGCCAATAATCCAAGGAACTTGGTAATAGGGAAAAGATGAGTGACACTAGTCTGATCCATTAACTTGTCCTGCATAGCATTATTCAAAATTAAATACCCAAATTGAAGAAAACCTTAAAATCACTTTAATCCTAAAAATAAAGAAGTAAAGGAAATGTAAAAGGGAGAGTACAGACGAGAACTTTCTTCTGGGTAACAACATAGACGAAATCTTTTCCTCGAACACCAATGGATGCCATCCCAGATGCTTTCACTGCCTTAAACGCATACTCTGCTCAGTTTATTCCAAAATCAAAATTTAAAAACAAATAATAACAATAATAAAGTTCTTCCAGATTCCAAAATAATAAAGTTAAAATATACATACCGACTTGGAAAAGTCGACCTTCAGGAGAGAAGATACACATACAACTGAAACAAAAATACCTTCTTTATGTAACCATGAATAAGCATCAATACCCACCTGCAAAACTTGCAGAATAGCATATATGTTGGGCAGGAAAAAATGGAAATAAAAGAGAAGAAAAAAGGATTCGAGGAAATACCCGCTTGCCAGCATATTTCTTGATGTGAATTGGTTCAATGAAAGGTTTCATGAATTTAAGCAGACCTTTGATTCCCATTGTTTATCCCCTGTTGCTTGTTTTGGGGATTAAGGTGTTTTTGGGGAAGAGGGGAGGGGGCGTTGAGAAAGCGGGAAAGCATGCGTAAGTTAAATTATGGGGGAAATTAAAAGATGACTTTTATAGATGACACACAATGAAAAGTGTACTCGGTGTTTTTGCTAAATTTTTTAGATTATGACTATTAAATATGTCATAAATTAGCGTGTGTCATAAATCGTTCAGATTTTAAGAAATATGACATTTTTTTTATGACACACATTTTTTGTAAGTCATAAATTAACGTGTGTCATCGTTCGTGTGTCATTAAAGGTATAGTTTCTTGTAGTGTATCTACTCAACAGCTAACAACTAACATTTAACAACCGTCCCTAACAGCTTCCCTAACTACACAACTGACTATACACATCAGCTAACAACTTCATCATTCAACATAAGATAACCAATGACCTCTTGCGCTCCTTTCCCCGCTGTAACAACTCCCCGATCTTCTTCAACGCCTCTTTCAAGATTGGATTCTCACAAATCTCGACACCAACGTCCTCTTTACAAGAATTCCAATTCCCTGGAAACTCATGTTCTCTTTTCTTCTTTGGCAGGTTTGGAAACGATGCAATTCAACCATCTTTTCTAACACTGCCCTTCCCAACACTGTGCTCTTTCGCCCTAATGAAACGTCGGCCATTCACTACCTCAACTCCTCCGCCATTCCGATGAGATAGGTGATGCTGGATTACACCATGGAAGTTCGTTGGAAGCCTGTTCCAGATGATTGGCTTACGATCAACACTGATGGAGTAGTCAACCCTCATAACTCCATTGACACGATTAGTGGGCTCCTCCGAGATGCTGATGGAGATTGGATTTTAGGCTTTCACAAATACCTAGGAGTAACCCAACCCCTCCATGCCAAGCTTTGGAGCATTCTCGAAGGCCTTCACATTTCTTGGAACGTTGGTTATGAAAAGCTCTAATGTCAAACAAACTGCTCAGAGGCTCAAAAACTCATCTCTCTCCCGACTCCCACAACAGTCCGTTGGATCTTGTTCGAGAGATTTCCTGCATGATTTCTAAAGCTTGAATGGTTGACTTTGTCCTTATCCGTCGCGAAGCCAACTTCGTTGTCGACGTCTTAGCCAAAAGAACCTCTAGTCTCAATGACTCTATACACATGCTCCATTCCCCCAGTTGAACATTTCTAATTTCTTGCACAGGGACCGATGTGGTCCTCCCTACTTTAGAAACTAGTTCGTTGTATTGGCCTCATGCCTCTTTGATCCAAAAAAATATGTTTTCCTTTTTATTTTAACAATTTCATGTTGCAAACTGCTTAGTACCGAGTGATGTAGTTTCTATTTTAATGCTTTATTATTAGAAATTACCATTTTTATAAATATTTTTAAATATAACATCATTCAAAATAAATTTAGCGAAAATGACACTCAATTTTGTTACTTAAGATTAGGCCTATAAATGATCCGAACGAATATAAACGAGAGTATGTTCATGTTAGGTCGTTTAACTTTAACCAAACAAACAAACAAACGAACACGAACAACTAAACAAACAAAATTTCTTGTTCATGTTCGTTCATTAAGAAATTTAGGTTGTTCATGTTCGTTCGTTAAAATGATAAACGAATACAAACGAACGAACATATATAAACCAACGTAAATAAACATAAATAAATGAACATAAAATTAATTGGGTTTATATTTGAGAAGTTTTTTTTTCTTTCCAAATAATTTTAGGATTTATAATTTCTTTAATTGATTTGAGTATTTTTTATTTCGGTTTAAAATTAATTGGGTTTTAAAATATTAATGAGTTTAAGGTTAAAATTAATTTTGTCTCAATATTTCAAATGGGTCTAGAGATTAGGTTGAATATAAGTGAACGAACATAAACAAATATAAATGAATGAACATAAACAAACAGATTATTGAATGTTCACGAAAGTAAATAAATGAATGAGTCTTTTTTCCGTCTTCATTTAATTAAACGAACTTAAGATTTTATTCATGTTCGTTCATTTAATAAATAAACAAACATAAATGAACTTCCCGTCGAACGGTTCACTAACAGTTTGTTGAACGTTTAGTTCATTTACCAACCTACTTAAGATAATAGTGTTTATTGTCATTTACGCCTTCTTAAAGGTGCGTTTCACATAATAAGTCTTTGCCTTGCGTGGTAATCAAGTAAGCAAA